CTGGCTTCATTCATCAAACCAAAGAATGGGCAACAATACTCGAGAATGGGAAGTACAAACGATAGAGCCTTAATTTAATTTCAGGAAGACAGAAATTGTAAGAAATAAAGCCACAAATCTGTGCAGCTTTGGCTGTAATTCTGTCAGGGTGCGGCGAGAGATCAAGCTTACTAGTGTAGCTTAAACCTAAATCCTTGATGGTGGTACATTCAGTCATAGGTGTGCCTTGAAAGACCACAGGTTGGGGTAGCCTATCAGGTCCAAAACACATATAGTGACATTTAGACGGAGAGAATTCCATTAGCAGATTCTTGAAAAACGTTGTTTATACTGTAACGCTTCATAAGCGGTATTGAGTTGTTTGAGTTAAGTGTCACTTCGCGCTCGGGCGATGGCGCAAGTGCGTGTCAGTAAAAATGGCCGGGGTCCTTCTCTCTCTTTACCGCCGACTCCCTCTCCGCAACTTGCCGTTATGTTTGCGTTTGTCTTTATCAACGTATGCACCACCCTCGGCTTTCCCCTGCGGCTGCCCACATCGTTGCATTCGCCACTGCCTATTTAGCAGGCATGTCAGCGTGGCTTCACCATCCAGACATATCACTATCTTGTTGTAATTTATCCCGTTTGTACAAATAGCCGCTATTATATGTATCCCAGTTCCCATCTCCTCTTATGATACCTTTATAGCCACTAAACATTTCCCCTTCCTTTCATATGGATGAGCATTGTGATGCTTTAACGACTCCGTTTAGATAGATCCTAGTCAGGAGATATTCCAAGTGCTTCGTTACCTCTGTTTGTGCCATTCTTGACGCTACAATACATCCCACAGTCAACGGGTTCGGTAGTGAAACAGCAGATTTAAAAATCTTTCTTTAGTATCAACAGAGGAGAATTGTGGACGTCCCAGTCTTCCATAGTCACATAAGAAGGAAAAGATGATATTTACGTGGGGTCTGAAAACTAAATAAACGTTGCTATATAAATGCGAAGCTGGCCACGGATTTCGTAGCTAACAGGGGTCAACGCGAACACTCGATAACCCGGATCCGAGTAACTCCGAAAATGAGCGAAAAAAACAAACCGAACATATTTTGATGGACCAACTCATGGAAATATAGGGAATAACAGCTGGTAAAGTTGTATCTTACCCACAGCCATAAATGTTCATCGCGTTATTTATAGATTCTAACTAAGGTCAAGGTGTGCGTCACTCCCGAAAAGACCAGAAGAATATTTTAAATAAAATATAAATAATAAGAATGGAAATCATATGAAAATTAGTCACCTATATAGACAATTAAAAAATGAAAGGAGAATTGCTTAGTTTTAATATGATTTTACTAGGTTGAAATTCGGATGGGAAAGACAAAAAATTGCTTGGATGCGATTGGGTCCGCTCATCGCTCCCATCGCAGTCTCGGCGTTTAGGTTTGCTGGATACGTTTATCCTGGTCTACCGTTTGTTTTTTTTATTTCTTATTCCCGGCAATGTTTGACTGTTTACTTTGGAAATCATTTCACCTTGATAACGACGTTCCGACGCCCTGATGTCATTATACTCGTCCAGGGCTAGCGCGGCCGCGATTGGCTGAATCTTGTCGGCAACCTTGGCAGACGCTATCCACACGGGAACAGTTAGTTGACGCGCATTTTCGGGTGAATCGAGGGCGCTGTCGCCCGAGGCGATTTAAGTCACCAGACAGGCGCCTACAATTCCAGACAAAGTGCGTGCCTGCACCCATGCATGTGTGCGTACACACAAAGGGGCCTTTCAGGGGTGACGTGCAAAGTGCGCTCGGTTGAGCGTCGAGGATGGGGTTCAGCAGAAAAGTTCCTTTCCTCGCACTGATCGAGCACCACCAGCCGATCAGGTTACTAACCCTGCACTAGTCCGCAAATCGCCCCGAAAGTCTCTTAGCCGAGATGCTGTTTGCCCGCTCTGTGCACCGTTGACATATAGTGAGAAGGCCTTCAATGACGACTAGACCATTAGGGTAGTTGACCCCAATCTAACTGTACCCCATCTGGCCTCCGCAGGGGCGGATAGGAGGACGGCATTCAGTAAAAGCTAATTTGTACGTTGTCAAGCTCTTTGGTCCGACGAATAATCAGCAGTAGACCATACAGCGCTAGCACATTCGGGTACGACTGGACACCGGTTCACCAAGTGTTGCGGGCCATTGCGGTATTACGGCATGGTGAATGTCGCCCATCCTCATATAAGGCTTTATCCGCCGTTCGACGCACTCTTAGAAGCCTACACTAGTGAAATGTAGGGATGGATAAAGAAGCCCGTCTTAAAACCCAAGGGCTACCGGAAACCATCGCGCAAGCAGTCCAGTCAGAGAATTCGAAGTCCGAAGTTGCCGCATAACTAGATTTTGGATAACTTGCATTACTGTCGTAGCAGCGGGCAACCATAGACTACAGACGGGTTTTCCTCTATACCGCTAGGCTGCCTTGATCGCCACAATAAATCCAGACATTTTTCAAAACAATTTTTACTCGTGGGACTCAGCGAATCCTTGAGATATCTTGTTCTTTTGATTTATAATACTTCGAAAAACGCATTTGTTTAACTCACTAACTCACTGGAGGCTTCCATAGCTTTTAGGAATGCCCTCGAAGATTACGTCCGTAACCACACTGGAAAGAGTGATTAGACTCCGCATTATCTCTCTCATTGATTTCCATGTGCATCTCCACAAGGCTCGCACGTTGCCTCACCTGTGGCAACGTGATCAGTTGGAGCCTGCTTAACCTTTCCTCTGGCCTAGATTATGAACTTAACAACCGAATTTATTTCGTTCAGTCCGAACCTCTTCCGGAAATTCGGTGTCATTCGCGACTTATGAAGACCACGCCAGCGAGCAGCGCTTTAGGGGTTTTACTCGGTGAGGATGTGAAAACGAGAAATGTTGCGCGCGACCCTTGGCTGCAGCCTCTATGTTAGGCTAGTGGGAGTAGAAATGTATAGCTTGGCAACATTTAGATCGCGGCATGTTTTCATTACATGAAGCCATTCGTTCATCAATTTCTACGTCTAAATGTTCCGTACCTACAGAGAACAGTGGTCCCGACGATTCCACAACCAAGTCTCACTCGCTAATCCACTTGGAAACTCTAGCAAGATCCTCGTGGATAAGAGCATAACCGCATATCCAACCTAAAAATTCCGTATCGTCAGCAAGTATCGGGCAGCTGTAGAAAACTACCTCTGGCAAGCTATTATGGATTAGAAAGATTTGCGTTCCTATCGCAAACTCTAACAAAATGCTGCTGTGTGTCTGCAACTCAGATGATCATACGCATACGCGGTAACTCCTGAGATGCAAAAAGCATGTTTTTCCGGTTAGGGTTTCTCAGTAAGTAGTCAAAGATTAACTCTGTCGAAGGCCCTGCTAAGGTATAAGAATACAGCCTCAATACTCTCCTGTATAGTTCTGGATTTTTGTTTTAATGGGCAAGTCTGTGAAGAATTGTCACTTAAGGAAGCCTTGCTGGTTGTGTGCCCCCCTCGTAAGTATCACAAACAGTCACGGATGACTCCTCAGGGTTTTGCATACCAAACGTTGGAGATTGACTGAACGGTAATTCGCAGTCATTTACATAGATCTTTTGGGTGGAAGGGCAGCTAGGATTCACAGCCAGTCCCTAAGTCTCACCGTTCTAAGCTTGATTTTAAGCATACCACAAACAGCTTACGTGATCGGGCGTAAATAGCCTGATTCTGGGCTCAAAGTGCAGTAAGTGCTTTTTTCTCTTCATTGGCTCAATTATAAAGTCGTCCATTTTGAAAACTGTGCGGGGAATGAATACGAACACACTCGTTTGTTTGTCTACGAGGAAATTAGAAATTTATTACTCGCTGATTGCGGAAGTAACCTCATGTTGCTCGATGTGTAGGTACCATCGCTTTTCGGAAGCAGTTACACACGTACCGTTTATTCCTCCTACGTTTATGGATGTAGTTCTAATTCGTTTAGGTTGAGATTTGACCGAATGACCATCGCTTTTCGGAAGCAGTTACACACGTACCGTTTATTCCTCCTACGTTTATGGATGTAGTTGTAATGCGTTTTGGTTGAGATTTGACCGAATGTAATAGTGGACTCTTTTGCCCGATCCGACTGTACCATATCAGAATGTGTAGTCCATTTATCATCTTGTTTACTGACAAAGATTTTCAGTCGACATTAGTTTTCAATATTGGCACAATTGCCCGTTATTTATTATAATACGCCATGGGGTCTTCCGCGTATTCTATGGGTAGACTCCCTTAGATTGTCTAACTGGCTTTGTGGGTACACGGGGATCCATGGCGAATGTGTTCCGCCAGATGAACCCGCACCGTTTCTATATCTGGCACCTTTTCGAGTCTGAATCTGGTTAGTGTAATCAGAGTCGTATTTTTTGGAATCTGAATGCTCGCGCGTTGTACAGTACTAGGGAGTCTTGTTGAAACTAAGCTCTATACTGAGCAGTATTATAGTATGGTCAATGTTACTTCAATGAGTTTATATGACAATTACGACTACATCCTCGTCAACTGATAGGAGCACACTTACTGTCTTGTCAGAACTGTGTAAATATACATTGGAAGATTGTTTTCCATATCCCCCACACGTTTCGCCGATCTTGTGCTATTGTATGGCACAACTGCTAGAAATTCGGCTTGTCAGTTGATCCTTGGTCCCTCCCTCACCCCCGATGGGACTGCTCCGATGTTACGCTCGACCAATGTGGGAACCACGTCAGATCATGGAATGTATTGGTCAGACTGCACTGAGTCTGTGTTGGTCCCAAATTATTGCTATGCATGGGTGTGGTACGCGTTAGGCGGCGACTCCACGTGACGACCATAACTAGTCCCAAGTCGGCTTGAGTCGGACTGACATAGAAGATGGAAGAGAGAGTCAACCCGGCTCATTTCGAACGCTTAGTTTCCTCACTATTAACAACTAAACGCCCTTTGAACTTACCACAATCGGCCAGAAATGATGGTTCAGGGTACTGCCAGCTCAGTGATACTTAGGATTGCAGTTCAGGCCGCAACGGGTTCGTTCTAATCTGACACTTATGATGCGCTCGTTTGAGCTCCGAGCCGTTGACACTGAAGACTGATGCATCTGGAATAATTCATATTGACCCAACTGTGAAAAACTCGGCGCCTCGGTGGGATTCGAACCCACGCAGTAAGGGGCAGGCTTCAGTACAGCCCACGCTCTAACGACCTGAGCTACGAGGCCCCGCCGAACGACTCGAGTTGGGTCAATATGAATTATTCAAAATCTGCCAAAATACCTATGAATTACGTTAGCCTGGTAGTCATCTGGTGGATTCTAGGTGAATTACTAAGGAAATCCTGCTTGAGCAGTCAACTTACTGTATCAGATTTGGTGGATTCCAGACCTTGCAGTAGGTTGGGCGGGTAACGACCCAAATGGGATAAAACTCGAGTCGTCCGGCGGGGCCTTGTAGCTCAGGTGGCTAGAGCGTTGGCTGTACTGAAGCCTGCCCCTTACTGCGTGGGTTCGAATCCCACCGAGGCGCCGAGTTTTTCACAGTTGGGTCAATATGAATTATTCAAAATCTGCCAAAATACCTATGAATTACGTTAGCCTGGTAGTCATCTGGTGGATTCTAGGTGAATTACTAAGGAAATCCTGCTTGAGCAGTCAACTTACTGTATCAGATTTGGTGGATTCCAGACCTTGCAGTAGGTTGGGCGGGTAACTTGACCCAAATGTGATAAAACTCGAGTCGTCCGGCGGGGCCTCGTAGCTCAGGTAGTTAGAGCGTTGGCTGTACTGAAGCCTGCCCCTTACTGCGTGGGTTCGAATCCCACCGAGGCGCCGAGTTTTTCACAGTTGGGTCAATATGAATTATTCAAAATCTGCCAAAATACCAATGAATCTGGAATACGCATGTTGATATATCCAGAGGTGAACCGATCGCGAACCCGTTTGTCCCGTTAACTAACGGAGTCGTGTAGAGTCCATAAGAATAATGACTTCCTCGATACCAGGAGTCGTATGTCTTCAGCAGCCCGCGCGACTGGGCTGTGGTAGACTGTTTGGCACGAAACTGGACCGCTGTCTATGGATGTTTCGGATCCGAACGATTAGGGGGGGGGGGATTCAAGTACGATCTGACATAAGGATACAAATCCTCCCCCCCCCCCCATAGAACGGTTAGCTGGAGGTTTTTCCTGAAAGTGAAATAACAATCGATAGTTTATTTTGAGTAGAATGTGTGCCTCTGTCCCGGTTTCGGTTACACGCAGCACATTTGAGTTTTCATTAAATAGAGGCTGCTTGAGTTCTGAAAACCACTTTCTAGATAAGTGTGTTCCTCCTCCTCCTCCTCCTCCTCGCCCACTGCTCCAACGGCGGCCGCTCAGGCGACTGTCCCGCGCACAACAACCGACACTACCACCACCTCCCCCGACTCCAGGGATGAGGATCAGGACTACACCTGCGCTCACCGCGACCGTACCTTCACCTCACACATCGGCCTGGTCGGTCACTTGCGAATCCATCTCGCAGAGACTGGCGAACCAGTGCGTGAAGCACCAACCGACACCCACCGCACTCGCCTCCACTGCCCACACTGCCCTCGCACCTTCAGACATCGCATGGGCCTTTTCGGCCACATGCGCATCCACGAGAGCGGCCTTGACCGCACTCCCGACACACCCACCACAATCACCGTGCACACCCCCACCCTCGTTCCATCCGTCCGCGCCACCACCACCACCACCACCGCCTCCTCTGTAGCTGACACTGACACCGCCGACTTCTCATGCCCACACTGTCCACGCACATTCAACTCACTCATCGGCCTGGTCGGTCGCTTGCGAATCCATCGCACAGAGACTGGCGAACCAGTGCCTGGAGCACCTACCTATACCCACCAAGCTCGTCTCAACTGTCCACACTGCCCTCGCACTTTCAGGCATCGCATGGGCCTATTCGGCCATATGCGCATCCACGACGACCTGCGGTAGACAACCGCCGGCCACACCACACATTCACTCACTCCCTTCCTCCTCCACCACCACCATCACCCCACCAGAAATCAACACTCACACACCTCATGCACCCAACCGCCACCTCCCACGCAAGTGGGAAGTCCGCATCTCGACTCGGTCCCCATGCGGCTTCGGCTGCACGGGTGACTTGAGTCCGAGACTATCCCGACACGTCAAGCGTCGTGGATAGGAAGGTTACTGATTGACGCCCGCTCTCGGTTCACGCAGTTCGTCGTGTTGTGTGTGTTGCGTGGAGTGGCGGACTGGTGGGCTCGGGACGGGCTGAAACAGCACCTTCCACGGCACTCTCACGCAAGTGAGAGACACGCCGTTCAACCCCCGTTGTGTGAAACCCTGGTGTTTGTGTGTGTATGGGGGGCCAGGTCGTGCCGTGGCGCGCGCAGTCATGGTCATTCGACCATGACAGCCACCGCGCCCATTCCCCATTCCAGTCTGCTGACCGGCTCGGACAGCGGCTGGGGTGTGAGAGTGGGAAGGGAGAGTGAGGTCGACGACTCAGCGCACTTTCTCCTTACTATAAACAATCTGACGCGCTTAAAGCTATCACGGTGCGCTAAAAGCCGTGGCTTGGAAGGTTACCAACTGACGGGGTAACCTGGACCTCCTCCTTGACCGGAGGCGGTCTGAGAGTCAGGCTGCAATGGCTCCTTTTTAATGTGGCCTTTATGGCACTCCCATCACAGTGTGGGATCCGAGCCAAGCGTTGGCGGAACGCCCAGATGCGGCTTCGGCCGTGCCAGCCTCCAAATCTCTGTTGTGTTGGTTGAAATCCTGGTTATTTGTTGTGTGGACCAGGGGGTGTGGTGGAACGCCAAGGTGAGGATCCGTCCGAGCCATCCACCTGCGGCCTCTCTCGTCTCCGGTCTTCTTGACTCTGTCTTGACACCGGGCTCGGACGAGAGAGTGTAGGTAGATGCTACGCAAGTCTACCGGCACTATAAACCCCTGCGTAAGTCACCGTCCCTGCTCCCATTGCTGCTGCAACTGTGGGGCACACGGTGGGCATCATCGAAACCGATGGTCGAACTGTCAGATAAGTGTGTGACGGAGATAATCCTGTCTAGTTACAAGTGTCCACTTACTGCACTGTCCCGGACAGACATTTATTTCTGGCGTGACGACTTCTGTTGACGCTTTTCGTCATATAAATACCAAGTGCTTACAGTCAAAATGCCATTCCGAATCCCCGTCTTCTCAAAGAGAATGCACGAAAGTGTGTGAGCTCCATCAGCATTAGTCAGGAAATTTTAGAGGTTTATATCAATCGCTACATGGCGTAGATGTTAAGGCCCGTTCAAGAAGGAGAGACTATTAGCTGAGGTGTCGTTTTGTCCCCTTTCACCCTTCCGATTGATGCTCGACCAAGAAGTAATCGCCAAAAATGACTGACTCTCCATTCTCTTACTTTCGAGTTTGGAGAACCTGCGGATTCAGAATAGCCAGTTGTAGCCCATTTTTGGGGAAGTTGTGCGAGTTAAAAGCCATCTCAACCGTGAGTTATATCGCTCCGACGATATTGGCTGCCTGCTTAAATTTATTTTTCGGCTATCAGACGACCCAACGCCTCTTTACCAGTTTTGAGAGGTACGGTTCTCCAAATTGACTCAACTATCGCAGCAAAAGCCTCCTACTGAATCATCTGCCTTCCATTGCTTGCAGACTCGCTCAACCAGCAGATGCTTCTACGTGATATTTCTGAGGTCCATGGGCCAAGCTTCCTTCACCTAGTTTCTCCCAGTGAATTGAAGGACTCCCATGTCTACTTTACTGTGTCCGATCCCACCGGGTCGAAAGGTGTGCCTTTTATATGTCCTTTATTACCTTGTAATGTAGCCTTTTACAGGAGTGCAGCCTCTACGGAGCTGGGGGTAAGCTTGAATGAAATTTCCACCCTAACCCTCGTTTTCAGGCGCCCTCCTGGTCATGTGCAGATATGACAGAATCGACTCTACTTCTGGCAGATGTTACTAGTGAGCTGAGTCATCTCTTTACCTACACACTTCCCCAGCCATCCTGTTTCGCTTCTTTATTGCAACTCAGTCGGCTGACAATGTTACCAATACTCTTGTGCTGCAGACCTGCGTCGATTTGGAAAAAATGACCAAGCTGGGAACTGCAGTAGGTCTTTTTGTATCTTTGTTTGCTTATGCAAAACAACTTTTATTCTCAAGATTCCTCCACTTAACTCGGGCCATTCGAACCAGCTTGTCGTGGCTTGTGGTGGAGATTTCTTCGTTTGGTCGTGTGATACTAATCTACCCGCTAGCCTGCGACCTGTGAAGTCTTACAACCTTGCCCGGATCAAGGAGTAGACTGAATTTTCAATTTCACTAATCGTCCATAGGATTCTGAGAACTGAGGAGGCATTGTCAGCTAACGAGACTCGTTTCCAAGAACTGCATGTGCTGCTGGACAGTCTAAATGAACAAGGCAGAAGTGCATCGTTACAGGTATATTTTTGTCATTTTTGTTTCCATTGGTCCTTTAAACTGGTCGAACACAACTCAATTTTCCCAGCCACCGTGGCACGTCCGTGTTGGTTCGTATATCCCATTCCATATATCTTTGTCCGGGACGACGGGAACAGTCGGATAACAAGGCCCACCTGCTCATCTGGCTGCGAGCTTCCCGACGTGTCTGTTCATGGTCAAAAAAGACTACTTTTGAAATAAGTAGGTTCCCGGATCTGACGACTAGACGGTCACATGCCATACGACAGTGGTATCATCAGCCTACCTGGGTACCCATCTGCCTAATCGATCAATCTCGTAATGATCAAAAAATATAGCGGTGTTTTGGCACCCGAATGTTGTCAGCCCCATCGTGGAAGACCGCCGCACAGCACAATGCTTGAACCCTAAACGGACGCACTAGTTGGGTGGTGGAGGAAGACGACTGAGCCGACTTTTTGGACGACCACAGGACTGTCGTCCGAGCGCACCGTTTAAATTTGCCGAGAGCCAATAGTATCCATTTTTCTGCCCAAAACAGTGCATATGTACTGGGGAAGGCTGTTGATTGTACAGTGCGTGATCGATCTAATGAAATGTAGACCGAAATTCTGAAATGCCATTTGGATTAGGAAGGATTTCTTAGGTGGGGTTGTAATGTTGATTATCATGCGGCATAATCCCATATTATTTCGGACTCGCCAGGATTTCGGCTGTTGAATGTACTTTTCGAACTCCTGCAGAGGCCCCATCTGTTAAGAATTGACTACCTAGGCAGCGTGCATTTTTCATACTGATTTTCGATGGTTTTATATATTCAAATATTTTTTATGGATAACACGCACAAAAATATGTTTTCTTTTACTTGTGTGGTATAAAATAACATTGTCTTTACATTTTATACCCGAAAAAGTTTCCCAATCCCCCAGTAATTTTGGGCCAGATCAGTTGCTGCACACCATTTCTTGATTCCAGTCTATAAGGTACATACTTTTCGCATAAAAAATCATATATTCCTCTATGCCTTTAAGAAGATACCATGTTGAGTTCATAAAATTTTGTCATGAATGCAGACTATGATGTACACTTCATGAGGAGCAGTGGTAAACGGAGAGGTAAGATGCTGTACGGTCTTAAAAATCTCATAACTAGAAACTTTTTTAAAACCTAAATACACGCTTTATTTGGGTATAAAATGTAAAGACAATGTTATTTTCTACCACACAAGTAAAAGAAAGCATATGTTCGTACGTCTTATCCATAAAAATATTTGAATTTATAAGACTATCGAAAATCAATGTGAAAAATACACGCTACTTAAGTAGTCATTTTTAACAAGTATGGCTTTTATAGGAGGCCAAAATGAAGTGCATTCAAAAGCCAACATCCTAGCGAGTCCGAAATACTATGGGAGTATTTTGCATGATAAGCAACATTACAACCCCACCTAAGTAATCCTTCCTAATCGAAAACGCATTTCAGAATTTCGGCCAACATTTCATCAGATTGTTCACTCACTGTAGGTCAGTCTAATAAGGACTGAGAGTCCACACCCTGACTTACTATATATCGATGCATCTGCGCCTGATGTCCTCGAATATTTTAGTCCGTTAGTGCGGCGATGGTATGCCCCAGTCATTACCTGGGTCGTGAGGCAGGTAGTTATGGGTAATCAGACCTTTTGGCGAGCACCGGAAGCCAACAGGATTTGACAATGTGCTGTTGGCCGGAAACACACGGGAATCGCCATATTATGCCGCAGTCTCCGACCTACGGGGGACGTAGATAAACAGTAAAAAGAGATGTCGAGTATACACTCTCTTATTGGCCAAACAGGTTCTCCTTAACTGACTGCAAATCGGCCAGCATCCAGACGTCCATAACCGGCCCAAACGCCTAGACTCTTTTAGCACTAGCACCTGCAGTACGGGAGCAAGTGCAGTCACTGGCCAGGGAGTGCGTCCTTTGAAATGTCCTGTCATCTGTCGAATCCTGGACTGGGACGTGTACAAAGCGATTTCTAGTCCCCAAAAAGGACAGCGGTCATCTGAAAACAGTGTTACCTGTTTCATGCGCACCCAGACCCCCCACCATCCGCGGTGATGCTTTCTTGTCGAGCAACAGCAGCATTCCTGTGTGCATCTGTCCTTCACTGTAATGTTTAGTCGGTATGGAATGGATTTGTCTACCAAGATAGGTCTGGGGAGGTCCAATATTCTTCCATAACCAGGAGCCTCATTATTATTATTATTATTATTATTATTGCCAGCGTTAAGACGGTCAACTTCACTTTTCTCCACTTTCAGCATGAACGATCAGCCAGACTCCATACAAGGCTATCTGCTCTACGGGCCTGCCTCAGCGGAGCGAAGCAAAAACTCGTGGGACGGAAAGCCGTTGCGGTCTCCTTGAAAGACGAGCTGGCCTCTGTTGGTGAGAAAAGCATTGTCAGGGCTTTGACAAGTCTGCATTTACCTTCTCTACTCGGGATTTTTAAGTATCATTGTAGCTGCGAACATTCTACGCCCATGTCCTAAAAGTACGACTGTCGCACTCGAACAGTATCCTAGATGCACAGGTCTAACTGTCAAATGTCGCTCCGTCGACACCGTTTAAGAGTCCAAAGGCGCAAACAGTATTCACCGCACGAAGTGGGCACGTGGATTCGTGGACTGTCGTCTCAAAAATCGAAGGAATGACTCACTGGCGCTTGTAGTACTGACCAGCACACTTGGAAGTATTGCAACCTCACTTAAGTAACATTTCCCACTGGATGGCACTATGCGTTTCGGCGCCCGCTGCACACAGCCTCGATAGCTGCTGGTCGTGTCGAACCAATTGTGCCCTGATCACCTAGTGTTTCTGCTCAATGCATTCCAACCACTCACCCAAAGCAGTCTTATATGCCTATGTCGAGCATGTCATTCGCAATTATGCCGATTTTAATTAGACGTCATATCGGCTCACAAGAGGTGTTGAACTCAGTTGGCCTCTATTTTGTTCATTCCTGTTCTCATTCAGTTTTTTGTTTTTTTTTAGCAAAGGAAGTCTCCGAGGTTAAAAAGGCGTCCGCTTTACTGTCTCGCCGACTGGAATCGGTTTCTGGACGTGCGGAATCAAACAAGTGCGTCTCACCATAAACTGTCTCCGACGTTCGCTCGTGGAGCACACTTAGGCTAAGTTTTAAGCTGTCTTGGGAGGGAAAAGTAA